AAAAATACTCTAAAAGATAATCTAAACATTAGTTTAAATTTTTTTAAAATTTTAAAAAATATCTCAAAATATATTCTAGAAACTCTTCTACTTTTAAATATCCCAAAATATAATCTAAAAACTCTGTTAAAGTAAAATTTTTCAAAAACACCCCAAAAAATAGCTAATCCAAACGGATTCTTTTTACTTACAAGGCATAAAATATTTTAATTCTTTGAAAGCAGAAAAAGAATTCTTACACAAAAAAAGGAATTATTATGCAAGCAAATTCCATATGTAAAGCAATTATAATTCTTAATGAATTTTGTTCCGTCCAAACAAAAGATTTGGAATTTTAATTGAATTCCTAATCAATTCTATACATTTACCAAATAAAAGAATGCTGAGGTTTTAAAATTTCAATTCATAGGATAATTGTGATTCTAATTCAATACCAACACTATAGATTATAGAACCAAATGCAGCCTTAGGAACTGTTGACAAAATAAGCACGTACCATACTACAATTATTTATATGTATTAAGAATGAACTTGAGGTAATTTGGTCATCCAAAATATACCTTCAGTTTAATTTCCTTAACAAATTAAGCGTGAGATATAAAGTGTAATACTTAAAATTCACGTGAGCAAAGCGATCTTAGGGTTGAAGTTCGAGGAGGGCGATTAGTCAAATCGAGAGTCAAATCAACCCCATTGCCATTAGTCAAATCAAGCCAATTCAATCAACAGCGAAAATAAAAGAAGAAAATTCGAGACTCCCAATTCCAGAGTCCCAACAACCCAAATGAGTCCAAACGGGCTTTGGTGAGTAGGTAAGGGATGGTTTGGACTTTGGACTTTCCGGCTCTTTGCTCTGCTACGTGCAGGACGACTACTAACCAGTAACCAACCAACTACTCCAACCTCGTGTGCTAAATTTGGAAGGGAGGGGGTAAAAATACGAAAGAAAAAGGAAAAGCGAAAAAGGGCAGAGTTTGGTAGAGGGAGTGTTTAGCCGCCAGTAGCTGACAATGTTAATTCAGAGGACAACATCGGGACCGCCGTCGTCGGAGGTTTGCTTACCTGTGGTGTTCAGCCGGGATCGGACACGTGTGACACTGAGCCAGCTTCATTTCAGAAGCAGCTGTATCATACTCGATAGAAGAACACTGCGGGTGTCAGCTGCGGATCGCGGTAGAAATATTAGCGCCGGCGGTGGAGGCAGCGATGGAATAACTAATATCAATAGCGGCAGCGGCAGTGCGCAAAACACCAAAAACAACAACGATGGCGATACTAGGAAAGGGAGTCCGCCGTCGTCGTCGTCCTCATCCTCCTCCTCCTCCAATTACGTGGTGCCGCTGGACAAGTCTTCCTGCATCACTCGGCCGCTCGCCGAGATCCTCCGAGACCTCAACAAGAGAATTCCAGATAACATCATCAAATCAGCTCCGCATCTGGATCGGGATCATTATCCTACGTTCATCCCCTGGTTGGTGTGCCTGTGCCTGTACCTGCGCTTATTGTCTTGTCGTCTCCCACTCCCTCCCTCCCCTTAAATAAATAAAAACAATAAATTGACTCCGAGTATGAAGTCATTAGTGAATATGAATACTACTGCGTTGCGTTGTCGGTCTGACTGATGCGAGTGTTTTTTTTTTTTTTTTTTTTAATTAAAAATGGTGTCTTCCTGTTTCTTTGCTTTGCTGCTAGGTACCATGCCAACCGCATGTTAAGCTTTTATGCCCCAGGTAATGTCTCACTTCACTACTATGTCCCTCCCCTTTCTGTAGCCAATTAATTTCCTTATCTCTTGCTTTTCTTACACTACTGATTTATCTTTCACTTTTTTCTTTATTAAATTAAAGGTCGGAGAAGTTCGAACCCTTGTGCTTATGTTGTACGGCTCTCCTTTTTTATCACCATAATTTCTCTTTTCATTCATCGTCCCCATTTACATTTCGTCTTTGCGATGGTTGTGAGAAAAAAGAAATTCTTGCTTACCAAATGCCCTTTCTAGTCTGTGCTTGGTTCATATCTTGGCTCTTCAATAGTTCTGCAGATTAGTTATCCTTTCTTTTTTCTTTTCACCTCTTACATTTCCATCACGGACTTCTTCACTTCTTTTGCAGGTTGGTGTGGTGAAATACGCGACGTTATTTTCTCTGAGAATGGAAGTGTTACAGTGGTTTACCGTGTCACCATACGAGGTTCGGATGGTGAGGTATGGCTTGTTCCTTCCCTTTGATGTGGTACACTTTCTAGGGCATCAATCAACTTGCACAAGTAGAGATGTATTGCATCACTTGGTTTCTTCGTTTTTCATTCAGAATAGCTAAAAGCTTAATAGATTTAGGTTCTACTTCCCTAATTGCTTGTCTCTTTCTGTTGTTATGGATGTCCGAGAATGGTTATAGTTTAAAAAGCTTTGCTTCTGTTCATAGTGCGGGCTTCCGTACATAAAGCTCATTAAGAACAAGGAATGGTTATGGGAAGCACCAGTTTAGATGCGCAAACGAATCTTTGTTTTGCCTCTTAAATATCGAAATTCTTTTGCAAATTAGCCTCTTTCACAAGCAATTTCTGCAATTTTAGCTAGCAATTTAGCATGTTCCCATCAAATCTACTCTTGGAAGGCATCGAAACAAAATTATGCAGCAGAGAACTTTTCAGCTGAATTTGAATTTAAAAGTTTTCTGCCAGATAACTAGTGTGAGACTGCATTTATTACAATTGCAGGTTCTCCACTTGGGATACATGGAATGCTTACAAATGTTTTATTCTTGTGCCATCATTCCAATTTATTAGTACACATGATGCCAAGTGTTGAATTGGTTGTCAAGTTGTGGGCTGAGTTGGTAGGAGGGGCTGCCTTAGACTGAACTTTGATGTTGAGGTGCCCAAACTGAATAGATCGATGTTGGAAAGGCTCAATTGATGTTATCCTCTAATTGGCTACTACGTTTTTATGAGCAGTTCATAATATATATGCCCATGTGTGGCCTCCTTGCCATCATAAACAATGTTTGCCCATCAATAGCAGAACTAGATATGTTGCTCTATTGTAATATGCTGAATACGAGGTCTTTAGCTAGATTAGTGTAGGAGGAAGTGCAACACTTTAGAAGGCTATGTTTGTTCTGAAATCTGTTTTTGATCACCTAGTGGGGATTTTCTATCCATTGACATGTCAATTTGAAAAAGTCTAGTGAACAGTCAATGTGGCTTTTCCAGTGTAAAACACCCTTATAGTGGGTTGGGAAGTATTTTTTTTCTTCCTAAGATATGGAAACCTATTGTAATGCATACAAGAGGATTTCCAAAACTTAATAGTGGTAGTACATATAGCCACCTCGATGTTAATAATTGTCTGGATTTCAGAAGATCTCCTAGATGTCTCAGGCGTTCAGTTCATGTTAAGCTCAGTATGATGGTTGACCATGTCCATCCTCTTTTGTGTATCTATTTAATTACTTTCCCTGCTGTGCAAGCCCCCTGAGGTTAAGGGTGGGCAATCGCCCCACCCCCCATCCACCCTTCCAACCTGGCTATCCAACTAGGCTACTACACGTTAGCTTGGCCTGTGGAGTACTTGTGACCATTGGTTGGATTTAGACACTTCAGAGAGAAGTTTTGTATCTTGGTTGCTAAATTTGTTTTAGCATGTGTTGTAAGTATATACTATTTTGCTCCAATATTTTTGTTTGAAGTGCATATTTCCTCCTACAATTTGTGCAGGCACACCGGGAATCAACCGGGACTGTGTCATCCAGCAATGGCCAGGTTGTAGATCTTGTAGCTGCAGCAGAGGAAATCGCATTTTGCCGAGCATGTGCTCGATTTGGACTAGGCTTATATCTCTATCATGATTAATAGCCTAGTCACAGAAGTTGTTATTGAGAACATGTTTCAATGTTGTTTGTACATGTTATCTTGAAATACGGCACATATATCTTTTTCCTCGTGTCGTCAATAGAGATATTGGCACAGGGTGGCTATGAATTGCTCTATATTGACTAAGTGGTGGTTGTGAATTTGGGAATGTTGAATTTGGAGATAATAGTACCCTTCCCCTTTCCTGTTTTCACCTTGTCTCTCGTCACCTGTGTGAGTTCGCCATTTCTTCATAAAATAGGAAAGGCAGGGAAAACTGTAATTGCAGATGTAGTTAAATAGGCTTCCTGGTAGAAACAATTGCAATTAATCAGCTTGAAATTATAGCATATATCTGTCATGTTTATATATGTTGTTTTGGAGAAACGTGTTTATATGGTGCTTTGATAGTGAGGTCACAGCACGCAAATGTGGAGGTAAAAGTAGTGATGGTATTTGCAACCTGGATGGTGATTCACAATTCAAATGGTAAACTGGGCAGACGTGAACTTCGAAATCCTACACCGAATGGTCAAATCACGGTTGGTAAACTAAAGGGCACATATGCAAAGAGTTAGTAGGTTAAAGGTATCCTAGTTACCAGGATTTAGGATGTCGAAGGTCACTTAGGGTACTAAGCATTTGTTTTGAGATTGTTGCATTAGCTTATTTGTCAGTTCCATTCCAGCAACTACAACAGCAGAAGCATCTCAGTGCTTGAAAGCGGGTGGTTATCTTGGGATAAGGAAATTGGACATGTTTTAATCCGGGCAAAGCAGAAGCTTCAGTAACGGTTTCGGTTCTCTCTCTCGGGTGCGGAAGTATTCTATTTTGTAATTGCAGGAACGGATGCCTTTTTCTGCGCATGACTGAATGCTTTCCTCATTTGTGCATGTCGTGCTAGGACGTACGGTCGTAGGGATAACGATCATTTTAGTCGCCCAGCATTTGGTTGGACCGGTTTGGTTCTTATCTCAAAACAGTTTTCAGGACGTTTGGCAAATTGTTTGATTTGTGTATATTTTTGGTTAAATGCCTGAAAAGGGGCTGAAGTAATTCTATTTATCCCAATTCATTGGAGATTAAGAAGTAACCGTGCACAACTTCCTGTAACTTCGGGATGTACAAGGGAACAAATAACGAGGTACTAACAAATATGCCAAAATAAAACTAGTAATGCCAAAATAGATGTACAAGGGAACACTTGGCAGATTCAAATTTATCTCCTATTATGGTTGCAGCTTTCCGTACACTTGAGAGCGGTCTAAGTCCTTACTTTCCTACATCTGCAACGCCACTAGGAGAAATCCCTTAAGAGTTAGACGTGTATTGATAAGGGCCTTAGCAGTCTGGTACTTGTATTTGCTTTCATCAACCAAGTTATTACACTGACAAGGAGGGTTATAGCCCAAGCTTTCGAAGTTTTAATTCTGTATATTATAGTAGTGTTAAATATCAACATTGGGGGCAAGAAGGTCTGAAGTCTTTTCCTTTCCTCCACCTGTAACTCCAGCAGGCTGAAAGCGTTAGCATGGTCATTGATTGATCAGGGCCTTAAAAGTCTTGTACTTGTGTTTCCCTTCATCCAGGAAGTTATTACATTGACAAGGAGGTCCATGTCCTTGGACATTTCTGGACGAACAAGTCTCGCGTCCCTGCCAAGAGAATTGCTTACTTCTTTGGCAACTGTCTCCCATGGTGTCCCCGCAGTTAAAGATGCCAAAAACTCTCCACCCCGATTCACCGCATCTGCCATTGCTGGGGGAACATCTGGCAGAGCCTGAACATTCAACCTTGATAGGTGACATATCAAGCAAGAAATGAAGTATGAATCTTATTTGGACACAAGTTCCCCTGCCCAATTTTGCGCATGTTTCCGTGTGTGCATGTGCATGCGTGCCTGTGTTTGTGTCTCTGTGAGAGAGAGAGAGAGATGAGAAATAAATCTTTAGTAATTTAGGCAAATTATTTTTGAGAACAAATTAACCTGCTGGAGCGGAAGCCCATGATCCCCAGGTAATGAGCGTATGGACATATCAAGCATTGAACTGATAGCAGATTCTGAGCTAAGTATCTGGGCTAGTACTGATGTTTCATCAATCGTATCGTCTTTGAACTTTATTAAAAGATTCCTTGAAATCCCATAATAAGACCTTATCTGTGAAGTCATAACTGTAGTATATTGAATGTTGCTAGGTGCAAACAAAACTGGAGCAAATTTTATGTGCAACAAAATATTTAAATGCTGAAGACAAAAGGCTGATTAGAAAGTAAATTCAGACTACTAAAGAATGCATTGAAAGTTACCTAACACATAATATCTGATGATGGATGTTAACACATAAGATGCAGGAAAAGCGCTGGCACCTCAAATATTAAAACTGGGGACACTCACTAATACCTGCAACTAATAAAGTAATTCAAGACCTGGTGACAGCTGAGAATAGCTTACCAGTCTTTTAGTCTGTTCTGGTATTGGGGTAAAATTCTCCCTCCCGTTAACCAACTCCTTATATAATGGAGGAAGTTGCTCAACCAGAGGAAGAACCTGCTTCATAATTGGAGGGCTAAGGTTCTCTAATTGCTTCAGAGTCATCTCTGCCTGTAAATGTTGAACCCCACAGCAAAAATTAATTATTCAGTGCTGAAGCAAGTTTATTAGTTTGCAAGAGATCATCAACCCAATAGAGTTAGATAAACCTACAAAGGTAAAATATTATCCAACACTATTATTTACATATAGCACCCAAGGAAAAGAAAAGCCATCTGTTTTGCCTGAAAATCATAAATATATAACAAATTCACTATCAGAAAAATCTAAAAAAAAAAAAAAAACACTAGCGACCAGCTCTCGATGGAGAATCCTGAAATTTATTGATAGAAAACAGAAAGGATGAAACCAAAAGAATCATGGTTTTATAACCTCCCAAATTTCACTGAGACTCAAAACCTTCTCTCCCCCCTCTTAGACCTAGAGAGGGAGGTCTGCGGGGAGGGGGAAGAGTAGATAAACAAGAAGTATAAGAAGAACGAACTAGGAAGGGGAAAGGAATACTCAATCCAAGAATAGAAAGTGCAGAGAAGAGGACAAGAGAGCAGGCAGAACATGGAAAGTCCTAGCTTCTTTTGATTTAAACACGCTTCAGTTCCAATGTGCCTGTGCCACGTAAAAGTTGCAAACTACGCAGTTCTGCAAAATCTTCTGCTCTTACTGCTGAGGCAAAAACATGACTGATGACCCAATGAATAGTTTTATCACTAGAAGTTTGATAGGCTAAAATGAAAAAATATCAAAGTTCAAGAAGGACAATTCTCCATCAGAGGTAGCCGGACGGAATAAAACTCATCCCAAATTTTCTAGATCCCCTAATTGCTAATAATTGTTTCAGGGTGTGCATGATATCACATAATACAAGGCAATCATATACATCTAATGAACAACACAAGTAACTAAAAAAATAAAAAATAAAAATCTTTCCTAATGATCAATACGAAGATATCTTGTCCAGAACCTGCAGTAATATCCAATGGTGTAGTTTTCTAAGCCATACCAGAGATATACTCCTTGATTACAAAAAGCAAAAACGCGAACAGGAATTGAAGTCGTAATAAAATAATATATTGGGTCACAAAAGTGATTGGTTGGTATTAAAAAAGAGAATTCTTGGTTCAGTTCTCCACCTCTACCATGATCGCATAAATGAATTTAAAGATCATCAAGCTTTGCTTAATTCAGATTCTCACCCCAAGACGAATTGTTGGAGATGATGCAACTTGTGACAAAATTGGTCCAATGCTTTGAGCCATTGGTACGAGAACAGGTGAGAACAAGGGAATGGCTATACTTGCTTCCTAGTGATTGAAGGATCACGTTCAGTACCTTATTTCCATACATATCTCAGAAAGGACAAAAATGCACAAGTACCTTATTGTTGAATGCCATCAATACATTCCCATTTCTTTGCACGGCATACCTTGAGCCTAATAATCAGATGATTCATCTAATCAATTACTGCTCATTCTATAGTATTGTAAACGATATAGAAGAAAATTCAATTGTTAAACCGATCAATAGGTGAATGACAGATCCCAGAGAATGCCCGATGCCAAAACAAGGAAGATCTTGTTCCTGCAGTACAATTTTTCAAAGAAATAGATAAGGAGACATATCCAGATTGCATTTCACTTGATTTTAGAAGCCAAAACTTACCGGTTCCTGAAGCAATCGACGACATCTATCAAATTTAAACTGCACTTCATCTGCGATAAGAAAGTGATCAAACCCACTAGCATAAGGGGTAGCGATAACCAATATACCTCTGTCACACAAAACCAAAACAACTAAGTCACTAGGATTCCAGTTCTCTTGGTGATGCTAGTGGTGATAATTACTCCACTCCCACCTCCTCTTCAGAGCATGAGCAAAGAAAGAAAATGGAACAGACTGGAAAAAGCCAATTAATAAAAGTAAAAATAGGTGCTTTTAAAGACAAAACATCAAAAGCAGGAACGTCTGAATAAAAAAAAGTACATTAAAGAACTGAATACAATGTTCTAAAGCCCGAATCACAATTCAGCTGTTGATAATATTTGAAACCAGAAATATCAGATTTTCAAGGACGATGGCATGAAATACATAACTGCTGGTAGTCAAACAAGAAAGGAATTGAGATACAGAGATGAGCAGATATTGGCATTGTAAAACCACTCACTCTTCTGCAAGGCTCTCCAAAAACAAGCGGTAGGTAAGCTGAGGGGCAGCCCCAACGAATATACCACCAATGAAATGTACAATGGACACTGGTTTTGAATTTCTTGGTCTCAACACCCATGCACCCTGGAATGGTTAAGCGAAGCTGTATAAGTACAGTAATATATATATTTTTTTAAGAATTTCAATTCATTCCCTTATCTTTTGTTCGCACGGTATTTATGTGAGATAATAGTAATAGCTGCGTCTAAAGATTTAAGAGTCAAAACAGCAAACAAGACAGCCTCTTCATAATAAGAAACAGTAGGTCATATCGCATTTGGAAAACTTTGCTAGACTTGAATTGGTTTAGTTTTGTTTCCAAAGAAACTCATTGGTAAAAGAATAAATATGGAGGTTTGGCTTTTCTTTCGTTTCACAACAAACTACCAGACAGAATAGAAGACCTTAAAAGTCTTATCGACTCCTGTAGTAAAATCGATGTGCAGTGTGATTTATCGGAAGCCAATAATAAGCAAAGCGCATAGACTGCCCTATTTTCCAACAAACATGCAACTCCATCAGGATTCATACATGTGAAAATGTATTTCATTACAAATCAACTAGCAAGTTTACTGATTATGAAGCTAAAAGTATGCTCAAGAAAGGAGAACTAGATAAGTCAAAGTGGAGAGTACCTCAAGTTCGCTCCAGTTGCTTGAAGTTCGCCAATCACCTTGAGATTGCTTAACTGTCTCCGTAAGCAATCTGAAAAAGACGCATGAGAAGATTTAACGAAAGCGGGAAATGAGAATAGAACAAAAGGTAAAACATGAATATAATTTTCAATAATCATGTATACATCGAACCCTTTTTTTTTTTTTTTGGTTGGACGGAGGGCGAGAGCAGGTGCAAAACAGTGGAAAGAAATTTCCGAAAAATAAATTTTAGGGATGGTGCAAAGATGAGGAGAAGTTGAAAATTAACTTGGAAATAGCAAAATTCATACCTCTCAATATCTCTGTAAAGCTGAATTCCAGTTTGTTTGTCACTGCTCCTAGCTTCGTTGTCATTAGCGGTGCTGCAATAGATTCTTCTGGTGCACATAAACAGCGAGTCAGATTTGCGACATCTGACAACTGAGGGGCCACTGAAATTGACGCCTGTCCTCCGCCTCCGTGAGGTGGGGCGGCAGTCCAAGCATACAGAAGAATAGGTAGCCCGCATACGCGGCGTCCATACACAACTCGCCATTCCAAAACCCCCAATTAGTTATCCACGTTTTCACCTCAGCGGCTTGAAATAACAGATCCTTCTCGGCCGGCCTTGTCCAAGGATCAACCAACTAACTGGGTAACGGCTTTATAGCCCGTCACAGTTGCAAGGCGATAGGAACACTCACGCCACCGGTACGTACCAATGCCACTGCCACGATGCCGACGTCACGGTTGCACGAAGCCGGACTTGCGAAGCGTGTGTGAATAAATGAATTTTTTTTTTTTGGCCTTTCCTTTTTCTGGTTCAAGTACTTTGGCCAAAAAATTAAAGGAATACTCTCACATCTTCTTGGAAATTTTTTTTTTTACTGCAGACGAAGTTTAAAGCTCCCACTCAGTGGTTACTTGCCAAGTACTTATCTAGTCAATTATTATGAGTAGCATGTAATAATACAAAAGTTTTTTAGAAAATTTGTCAAAATAGTCTCTAATATTTTTTGAAAAAAAAATTAGTCATTCACATTTAAAATCAACCAAAAGAGTCCTTGAGTTAAAAAAAATTTTGGGCATTTGGTCCCAAAACTCATTTTCTCATTTTTTTTTTCGACAAAAAATGCACGCCTACCTCATGTGTCTATAGTTTCAAAGACAAAAGAGGGACAAAATTCATTTCCCTTCACCAAAAATAAAATAAAAAATACAAGATTTTCCCCCTTCCTTTAAATTTCATCTATCAAATTCTTTACGCATGCGTTCTATTGCTCATGAAAAATGGGATCATCATTTTGACCAACTAGCTATGAAAGCTTTTACTCGAAGGTATGCTGTTGATTTAGTAAATATTGTCTATTTTGAAGTTCATCAATGGTGATAAATAGTCAGTTAAACACACCAATGAAGACTCTTATATTAGACCTCTTATTCTATTATTTCTTTCTACCATATTCTTAATAATGTGTTGGTTACACCACCTATAACCGAAGTGTAAATCAAATGTTCCATTTTGGCCAGAAAATTGAAAAAAAATAATTTGTTGGGAAAAACTAGGCAAAAATTTTATATTCGAGTTTCAAATGTGAGGGACTAAAAAAATTTATTCAAAAAATGTGAGGGATTAAAATGACAAGTTTTTGAGTTTTTTTTAAATGGTGTGACGGCTAACTTTATATATCTATATATATATATATATATATATATATATATATATATATATAAAGATTAACCTAAATAAATTAACATAAAAAGATAAATGAAATAACTGGTTGCTTTATGTATAAAAAGATTAACATAGAAAACTCCATTGTGGTTTCACTGAATATCAACCAGTCGTCCTATGATCTCGAAATATTCACACAATCCCCTCATCGTTCAAACTAATGTGAAATAGCATTTTTTAACTTATTGTCGTACCGATAACCCATTTCTTGTTAATTTTTTTCTCTTTTTTTATTTTCTTTCCTTTTCTTTTTCTATTTTTTATTCTCATACTTTCTTCTTTCATTACCACACAACCACCACTATTACACCATTACCACCTCCACCATCTTTCAGTTGCCACTACCACGACATGCCACCACCTTTTCTTCTTCTTTCCTTCCCTCGGCCATCACCACTATCTCTCTAATGGGTTTCTAAAGTTTACTGTACATATTTTGAACAAATTACATGTTCAATCATGCATTTTTAAATTTCCTTCTAATCATGTTGTCCGATTTTTTATTATTCAATGTTAGGATCCAAATGCGAAATACACGACTATTGAGATATCAAATATGCAACAATTTAATAATAAATAAGTCACAAATATGAAAGATAAGTGACACATAATATTTAACGTGGTTTCATCATTGAACCTACGTCTACAAAAAGAAAATCCGTTCTTTATTATGAAAGAAAACCCTATATACGAATACAACTTTAATTCTAATTTAACTCTTGTATACCATCTCTTATCTTTCAAGAATTTTCTTTCACACCCTATGTATAATGTTACATGTCACCTTAGTGTGCCATTGTGTGTTTCTTTGTAGTATGTCAATCTACCTATTTATAGAGAATATTATTTAATCAAAAATCAAATAACAACATGAAATCAATGCTAATTTCTAAACTTATACATAATAGAAAATAACTTTGAATCCTAAACAAAATAGAAAATTTCTTGGTTTCTATTTCAAATGACTAAAACTAATTAGAAAACTAGTTATTTCTACACAAATTAAGAGACCTGACTAAAAGAAATTAAATTAATTTCCTAACAAATCCTTACCTTGGTGAATATTTTTTTAACAACTATTTGTTTTCAACTACCAAATAACATGGTACCGATCTACACATCCGAATCAATGCAGTTCTAACACCAAATTGATTCAATCGGCAAATGAATATGTGTATTACTTCCAATCCAACCTCTAGTTGACTCGCGAGAAAATGCATCAATTCACCGTTTTCCTTTGTAGGATTTCTTCTCACCACCATTTGTAACTTGGGATCATCTTTTGTGAATCCTATTTTTAACCATTGAAGCAACAAGTGGTAAAATCACCATATTTCTTCCCATTCTCAGGACTGTCTCGCCATTGGTGATTTTCAAAACTCTACCTAAAGCGAAAAAACTTGTATCTCTCAAAGTCTTCTGATATATGAAAATTAGATCTTTTTTAATTTTTTTAGAACACATGCCACACCACCTAACGAACATATTCCGAATTTAATAACCATTCGGAATGAAGTATCAACTTATGGAGTTGTGAGAATATCTTCACCGGTTGATGTTCAAATCACCTGTCTAGATTCACCACCAAGTATCTCCATATTTTTTGATTTTTCATCCTTCACTTTCAATGTTTCTTGTCAAACTCTTGAAACGAGAATACCATCCATTAAATTGTTTAATTGGTAACAGTCACCAATCCACTTGATCTCAATAATCAACTAGAATCCAATCATGAACCTCGCTCTGATGCCAGTTTACTGAGATTTAAGTGCTTGTGAGTAATCCAATCTCGCAACCAAGTTTTGATACCACTGTTAGGGGAGAAACACCTCGAGAGAACCCATCAAAGGGGTCAATATATAAGTTAGGAACCCAATTTTGATCCAAAAGTTTAAAGTATTAGGTTTCGGACCTTTATATACATATTAACTACTATTTCTATGTCTTTCGAACCAATGTAGGCAATAGTTTTTTACTCATGAACCTAACATTCAATTTTTGTTCTTGTTGTGTTTGATTTTGCTATTACAATTTTTATGCAGTCACAATTAATGTTTAGATGTAAGCTCCTTTTTTTTCGCATGGAGAAAAATTTTTCTATTCCAAGTAGGGATCTTATATAATATTTTTCTTTTTCTATTTAACCTTTTGAAGTGTTAGGCTACTGTATATTCTGGAAGTTAATAATTTATAGGGAAGGAAGATATTTAATGAGATATACAATAAAATGTAAATAAACTTTTGAAAGTATGCTAAGGAGGAAACCCTAATCTCGGTTAAGATTAAAAACCCTAGTTTATGTATTAGTTTGAAATGGTTAGCAAACTCTAGATTAGCAAATCTCTAGTGTTACAATTTATTAGAAAACTTAAGTGGAGTTTTATTTATCGCCCGCCTTTTCCTACATTTTTCTAGTATCGGTTAGTTTTTGCGAAATTAAGAACATATATCGGACGTGGGACCCACTAGCGCGGAAAGTTCGGTAAAAATTCGGCCAATTAGGTTAAGTTTTGGATACTGGGTTTAATTTACCGGGTTTATGAGATAATTAAAGGTTGTTATATGGATGAGAGTGGAGAGAGACAAAAGGATATGTATGTATTAAATAGGGTGACAAGTGTCACCATATGATTAAACCTTACAATTTTGACTACTATTCACCTTTTTACTAATTGACCAAATAAACCCAAAAATTACCAAAATCATCTTCATTTTTAGCTCCTTATAGCCGGCCACTCTCCAAGGAGAAAGAAGAAAAACCTCTTCACTTTCTTAACTTCAATCTTGCTCAATCTTCGATTTCAACGATTAAATTCGAAAACTCTCCATAAAACTCCTTCTCTTAGTAGTTGTGAGGTGACTAGTGAAGTTGTTTGGAAGCTTAAGGTGCTAAGTGGTCTCTTTTCTTGTGTTGATAAGGTAGTAACTATGAAACCCCTCTCCTCTATCTAATGATGTTTAATTAATGACTTGTGGTTGTTATAAGTGTGATTTGGTGGATTATTTCTTGATTTTAGTTAAGATTGGTGAAGTTTTCTATTTATTTGGGATTTTTCTGTTTGCATATGATTAATATTATGTGGTCATGTATGATGGTTGGAAATGATTGAGAATGAAGCTAGTTGGTGTGAATGGTAGTTAATTGCAGCAAATTTCTGGTTTGGAAGATAAATTAGCAAGTTAGGGTTTCAAAGTTCTACTTTCTGCCTGGCACTGTTCATCGTAGTTAGAAGCCGAATTAGCCTTTGGTTAAAACATGAAAGTTGTAGGGAATGATATTTAAGAAATGCTTGCAAAATTTCAGGTCAATCGGAGTAGCGTAGCTTGAGAAAAGATAGAATTACCCTTGCTGTCCTGTTTTTACCCGAACTTGAGAACTGTGACTGTAATTGGTGAATTTGGTTGGAAATGCTTCAGAATTTGTTGTTGAGGTCTTCTGATGAATTGTAGCCCTGTTTCTTAGCTTTTGGATGGCTTTGGAATCACTTGGTTTGGACTTAGGTAGCCTGACTTATGATGTTTGAACCAAAATGCGGTTTGTGAGCCTGTTTTTACGGTTCTGGGGTAGTATATGGCAATTTTGACCTAGTTGCAATAGAAACTGGACTGAGTAGCCTTCTTCAACATTATAGCCTCTTAAGTCCTGAATATATCTACAAAATTTCCGGTCAAACGGATCTGTGTAGCTCGAGTTATAACCAAAAACACTCGCACCTATTTTGTACCCTGAAATTGTGTACGTTTTGAATTTCAGCTTCTGACCGTGCATTTTTCCGTTTTGATCCCGTACGATCTGGGTGTCAACTCCTTCATAAGAAATGTAGATCTTGGTTTTGGCTTCGAAACGGTATGAAGTCCGTCGAAATCCGAGTTCCGTAGCTCCTGTTATGACCAAAACAAGATCGATCGTCAGAACTGCCTTGAATCTGGACAGTTCTGACGGGTATTTTTGCACTCAATTTTCGTTCTGTTCTGAGTGGATTCAGGTCTTGGCCAAAACATCAAAGTTTTAGCCTTATGTCTCAGCTTTCTAATGCCTTTGGAATTTCCTGATTTGGATTTG